ACAAAACCATCTCTAACCAAATGGTCCAAATCGATCCATTCAAACTAATTTTAAAATTAAGCATCCCCATGATTTGTATTTTTAATGGCTAAACTTGAGAAACGAACAGCCCCTTAATCTTTTTTTTTTGTTGTTGTTAATGTGCTTAGCTAACAGAGTATGAGACGAGAGAGGAACCTAAGTCGATGCGAAAGAGGTGGAGAAGTGGTTGCGTTGATCGAACAAAGTTGTGTCCGAGAAAGGAAGAGAACATTCTTCGCTGCAGAGACTTTGCGGTGGCCATTGTGGTATCTATTACGATATGATATACTCTCTCATATCTTGGTTTATATACGATAGTTTCTTATTTCTACATATCCCCTTATTTATGATTAGGTTAAGGGGCTAACATAGAGATTGTATAAATACCTTGTAACGATGTTTGGAATAAGACAGGTTGATATTCAGCAGTTCATACTTTGTGATGGTATTAGAGCTTTGATCCATTACTTTCGATTGCTTGAATTGTATCATTCTTCTTTAGAGCCGCCTCTGTCTCTGTTACAGAAAACAGAGCCGCTTGTCAAAACAGAAAGCTTGCAAAACAGAGGATCTTATTGATAAAGTTTAGATCAGAAGCTTCAACTCAAGCTCTGATACCAATTAAAGTTTAGATCAAAGCTTCAACTCAAGCTATGATACCAATTAAAGTTGCACAAACACAAGAATATAAGAACTAGCACTTCTTATTAGATTTAGAAACTCTCTCAAAACTAAATCAATGTGTTTATCTTTGCTTGATCTACTCACTTAGATCTCTCTTCTCTTAGATCTCTTAAGGGATGCAACATCTCTGCAACTCCTTATATAGGCGAAGCTACATCTTAACCTAATAATAATATGGAAACATTCCTAAGCTCGATATGTTTTCCTTTTTCCTTAACTTACTAAACTCCTCTTTAATAAGTTAACTTTCTCCTTAAGTTAATTGTAATTATCCAACATTCTCCCCCTTAATTTCAACTTGAATCTTGGGCTTGTTGATCTCTTGAACTCCGATGAACCTTCGCATTTGAAGAAGAGAACATACTCAGTGGTGCCTTTTATATATCGCAACACATGCTTCATCGCTTCTTCATGACTCTCTCTTAAGCATCCTATGATGCTTCGATACGATGTTGCATCAATCTCAGGCTCCTCCTCTGCCTTCGATATTTTCAAACTTGTATGCATCGGAACATGAGTATAGTTACATGACTCCATCTTCGTTTTGACAAGTATACCTTGCGCGTATCCTCCTTGCTTGATTTGAATGACATCATCTCCTTGCGTTACTTCTATACCAAGATAGTATGTAAGCTTCCCGAGGTCTGACATCTCAAATCTTCTTGACATATCGTCCTTGAATTGTTTGATAACTTTGAGAGAAGTTCCCGTTACAAACAAATCATCGACGTAGATAGCTATGATGAGAAGCTCCCCCTTCTCTCTCTTTTGATATACTGCAGGTTCCTTGGTGCACTTCGTGAACTCCATCTCCTTGAGGACACAATCAAGCTTGATGTTCCAAGCTCTTGGAGCTTGTCGTAAACCGTATAATGCCTTGTTGAGTTTGTACACGTGATGCTCCTTCCCTTTCTCCACAAAGCCTTCTGGTTGAGTCACGTATACATCCTCGTTTAAATCTCAGGAATGCAGTTTTCACATCTAAGTGATGGATCTCCCATCCATTACTTGCTGCCAAAGCCAGAAGTAGACGTATGGTTTCTATTCGGGCCACTGGTGCAAATACTTCTTCAAAGTCTATGCCTTGTTGTTGCACATAACCTTTTGCGACTAGCCTTGCTTTGTATTTAATCACCGTTCCATCTGCATTCCTCTTGATCTTGTAGACCCACTTCAAACCAATTGGGTTCACACCTGTCGGCATCTTGACGAGCTTCCAGTTCTTGTTTTTGATGATAGATTCGATTTCTGCCATCATCGCATCAATCCAGGCTTGTATCGATGCAGCTTCGATGTAACTTTCTGATTCACCATCAATGGTGAGCAAGAGTATACCACCTTCAACTTCAACGAGTAGAATGTAAACATCGAACCGCTTTGGTTTTCTGATGTTACGACCATATCTCGATGTTACATGCTGGTCTTGGTTCGCATCGTTGTTCTCTGCTATTTGTTCTTCTTCCGTTTCAGCTTCAAGTTCTTCTTTGGTTGTAGCTTCAAGTTCTTCTTCGGTTGTAGCTTCAACTTCTTCTTCTTCTTCTTCTTCTTCTTCTTCTTCTTCTTCTTCTTCTTCTTCTTCTTCTTCTTCTTCTTCTTCTTCTTCTTCTTCTTCTTCTTCTTCTTCTTCTTCTTCTTCTTCTTCTTCTTCTTCTTCATGGTTCTGGTGATCTTGATTCTCAACACCATCCCCTTCTTCAACCATATTCTTAATGACTTCAAAATTTTCATGTCTAAGCCGTGCATGCCACATCCATGTAGCATCGCTTTTTTGTATCTGAAGGCACTTCGAATATTCAACCTCCATTAGCGTCTTGTACAATCGGTTTGGTGACCTTGAGACTTGTACCAATAGCCTTCCACGAGGATCTTTCAGCATCAATAAATCTTCTCTCATATTAACTTCACAACCCATCTCGGTTGCTTGTCCAAGACTTATGATATTGTGTTTAAGACTTGGGATGTAGTAGACATCTTTGAGTGCTCTTCTCTCTCCTGTTTTTCCGACGAACGTGATCAAACCTCTCCCAACAATCTCGACGTTTGATCCATCACCGAATTTGACTTTGCCTTTGATGCTCTCATCAAGACTTGATAAGAACTCTCTATTCCCCGTCATATGGTTACTTGCACCATTGTCTAGATACCATATACTTGTGTTTCCATCGCCTACATCAAACCTTTTAGGGAACACACTCTCTTCGTTGAGTAATGCAACTTCGTGCATATATAATGCATCTGCTTCTTGTGTTTCTGTTATGTTAGCTTCTTGGTCTTGTGTAGGTCGTGTAGGACAGACTGATGCGAAGTGCCCCATCTTGTCACATCTCCAGCACTGTACTTTGGAATAATCCTTCTAAGTCTTCTCAGAAGCTTCTCCTCCTTCGTTGTGACCACAGAATCTTCCGCGACTTCTACCCTTGCTACCATAACCTCTACCTCTTCCTTGGTAGCCATTGTGTTCTCCACGACCTTGCGTATCATTCTTCACAAACATTAGCTTCGATTGATCGTCAACTTGGGTTTCTTGTTTGATGCGCTCTTCGAAAGTCTTTATTCTCCCAACAACATCTTCAAAGCTTGCTGAATTTAGATCAAGTAGTTGTTCTAGAGAAGCTACGATGTGTATGAACTTGTTTGTAGGAAGTCCATCTAAAAACTTCTTTACCAGCCTTGGTACATCCATGATTTTACCCAACGCGGCTGACTCTGATGCTACACTCGATAGTTTTCCTGCATAATCATCCACTGTGTCTGCATCTGTCATCTTCAGCTTATCGAACTCAGACATCAAGGTCTGTAACCTCGCTTCTCTCACGCGATCAGCACCTAGGTTACGTGATTTGATAACATCCCAAATCGTCTTTGATGTATCGTATTCTCCAATTTGAAGAATCAACGCTTCTAGATTCGACTGAAAGATTAGAGCAATCACACCATTGTTCTTCTTCAAATCGATGTTCTCTGGTTCGATAGTATCCCAAACTTCATATAAACGAAGCAACACCTTCATCCTTATCGACCAAACGGTGTAGTTGGTCGATGTTAGCATCGGACATCTTATGTCCTTCTTCATCTCAAGACTTTTATCACGTACTTGAGAAGCGACATCGTCTCCCATGTTTTGATCGAATTACAACTCCTCTTGTAAACGATTTTGAAACCTAGAGGCTCTGATACCAATTAAAGTTTAGATCAGAAGCTTCAACTCAAGCTCTGATACCAATTAAAGTTTAGATCAAAGCTTCAACTCAAGCTATGATACCAATTAAAGTTGCACAAATACAAGAATATAAGAACTAGCACTTCTTATTAGATTTAGAAACTCTCTCAAAACTAAATCAATGTGTTTCTCTTTGCTTGATCTACTCACTTAGATCTCTTTTCTTAGATCTCTCTTCTCTTAGATCTCTTAAGGGATGCAACATCTCTGCAACTCCTTATATATGTAAAGCTACATCTTAACCTAATAATAATATGGAAACATTCCTAAGCTCGATATGTTTTCCTTTTTCCTTAACTTACTAAACTCCTCTTTAATAAGTTAAATTTCTCCTTAAGTTAATTGGAATTATCCAACAGTAGAATTTCTATTGGTCTGTGTACGATGGAACTCTCAACCACAGCCGCGAAATCTAAACGACGTACCAGCTAGTGATGAACAAGCTAGTGATTCAACCAGAAAGGTTATTTTGAATTAAAGAAAAAGCACATTGTCTCAAAGGACACAGATTACTAAGAGTTAGTAATAAATAACAACGAAATAAGACAATCAATAGCAACCCTCTGTTGGGGTTTATTGGCGTTTGCAGAGTTTTGGTGTTGGATGTGGTCTCTTGTTTCTTTTGACCTCCATCTCTGTTTATGTTTTCTAGTCTCTCCAGTTTGGGAGCTTTTATCTCTGGAGGTATAGTACCTGCCAGCGTTGTATTCCATCAACGAATCCTAACAATTTATCCCATATTGCATAGTATTTTTATGAATGAAATTCAGTGTGAAAAAAAAGGAAAGGAAAAGATAACTTTGTTGTAGATGAGACTGCTCTGAATTGCTTGGCTTGCGTCTCAAGTAACACATTTTATTGCACCTTATATATCTTCCCGTTAATGGCGCCAAAGCTTGTGAGATACACAATCACATGTATAGACAAATTTCAATTTAGCCATTCAAGTAGGGTTAACACAAACAAAGCTAAATGCTTAGCCACTTCTGTACATTCTATTATACTTTCTACCACAAGAATTTTTTCTAAAAAAAAACATCTTATAAAAGAAATGAAAATCCCTAACAATATATATTTTTTGAAGACAAACAAATGTTGCTCCTCTTAGGTTAGACCTCTTCAATGAAATCTCCGGAACTCATGGAACCGGTTCGATTCAAGCCTTGTTTCTCTAACCAATACGTTATTAGAGCCTTAACCACTTGCCTGAACCTTCTCCTATATGTAGGAAGCTTAGATACGCTCCGTACCATTCCCATCATTCTACAACACAAAGAAGTAACGTCCAAGTTTCAGAACAGAATCAAAGAAACCATAAAGGGCTCATTTTTTTCTACGTAAGAATTTTTACCTTCTACTGATTCCTTGAATTTGAGCAGCTCTAACATTTTCTTGAGGTGGGTTACCAAGATTGTCCCAAGCTTCCATCCTTTGTTCATGGTTCCCAAAGAGAACAACTTTCTCCAAGTACCTAACTTCACTTTCTCCAAGTTTAATCACTCTAATCTGATCTTTCAACACCATAATAGGATTAAAGAACCAGTCCAAGAACTTGTCCTGCGGTCTATTCAAATGTGTTACTTCAGAGCCATCAAGCAAAAGCACACCATGAGCACCAGCTTTAATAGACCTAAGCAGTGTATGAAGCAAAGCATAAGAAGGAAGGCCAACATTGATAACCGATGATTCGTGTCCATGTCTTCCTTTTAAATACTCATATAGATCATCTGTTGTTATCACTCCTTGGTCTAGTAGTTCTTTTCCTTCCATCTCAAACCACCCCATCATATGCTCCCAAATCTATTGAAAAGGTTCTTCAAGTAATGAATATTAAAAGCAATGTACAAAGTTCAATAATAAAGATTGACATATACCTGAACCATCCTCACTTCTTGTATTGCTTCTCTAACCGATACAGACCGAATCAGGCTTGGTACTAGCATAGCTGGAGGTTCTACAGAACCAGAACTATTGACTCTGCTTACAGCTGAAGGGTGAAAAGGATCCTTTTGTCATTCTATATCTTGGCCTATATATGTAGTACAGTTTCCTAGTGTTAGAAAAGTAGAGGCAAGAGAAATTGAATGTAATAAAGAGTTGAAAAGAAACAATACTTTGGGAAGATAGTTCCTTCTCTAAGGTAAAGCCAATCATTAGTTTACTCATCAAACTCTCCAACTACTGCAATGACATATGACACTCCTCTTCTAAATGACCTTTCCTGAAACACAACTACGGCTCCATACAAACCCACAAAGATGCTGGCGAAGATGGTTGTCAAGACAAATCCAATGACAATAATAGGCCATAATAGTATTGTCAAACCAGCAACGGGGATGCAAGCTATCTCAAGGAATGGTCCTTCTCTGTTAATGGCATCTTGAGATAGTCTGTATCAGCCTTTGAACAGAAGGTAAGGGCTTTTAACCACAGCTATTGCAGTGAAAAGAGGGATGTCTATAACTAATCCTATAATCCCTACAATGATGCATCCAGGAACATGGATCAACCTGCAAGAAGAGACCACACATCAACACACAAGAGTCATAAACGAAACTTTATGCTATAATCTTGAGCCCCTTTACCTAAGAGTTTGAAGCTCATCTGAGGCAGGTGATTCACGCAGTTCCTTTAAGTAAAGTGGATAAGAATGGTAACAAAGATCTGCGAAATCAGTAACCACAGTACAACTTCCTTTGATTGTTCCTCAAGTTCCATCCTAATAGTACAGAATAAACAGAGTCAAGTAATATGAATCTCTAAGAAACATAATGTGGGGGAATTTATTTTTAAAGTACCACAAGACAGTGGAAGAACTTGTTGGGTTCAGTGTCTTGTCTGAATGCTTCAAAAGCAGAGATCCATGGAGTGAAGAATCCATAGCCAACACCAACAAGGACACTAACTGCTATACTTAGACCTAACCATATACCAAACAATGCAGGAAGTGCTACCAAGATGGCTAGTTTCAGAGGAATATCAAATCTGTTTGTCCTGAAATTAAGGAAAAACATAGAAGATGACATATGTAAATGGAATGATTTCTTTTTTGAGAATCTTCGAAACAGAGTTGAATGTGTTTTTATACTTTGCAACAGCGTAAACTGTCCAAGTAACATGTGCGGGGAACAAACCAAGAATCACTCCAACATTTCCTGCTATTATTGTTAAACCAGCTATTGGACCAACGACCAAACCTGCATATATATGAAAGAAAACTTCAAAACTTTGTTTAAGAAGAACGATTCTTGAAGAGAATCCATTATCAAGAAGATCAATCATGGAAGCAGAGCAAAACAGAGCTTAAAGACAGAACAAAGAGAGATTGAAACCTTTGAGAGCACCGAGAAAGAAAGCAGAACAAAATGCAAATATGACATAAGAAATCTTCAGATAGCTTCCGAGGTTAGTGACGACAGCCATATAATCTCATGGAAAGAAAATCTCAGATATTCTTAGGGTCAATATTTACAAAATTTATAGCTCTGGAAAAGATCATAGAGAGAAAGGCGTGTTGTACAAGTCTGGGAATGAGATGAAATCAGAAAAATACAAAAAGGGGTGAAGACAGGAAGAAGACTCAAACCCAAGAACCCATTTAGAGAAATAAATGTTCACTGAAAGTTTGAATAATTTTATTAGGATATATGACGTGAAAATATAGGGGTAAATTAACTCGGTGATAGGAGAAATGTTGGACAAAAAGGTAGTCATACGTGTGTTAATACGCCATTGGAACTTGGCAATATGTGGTTGCAGGTATTACTAACATGACGTGCTGAGCAAACTATACTGATTTTGACATCCATTTGCCTATTATATATATATTTTAGCATATTTTTTAATGTTTCCTTAACTTTTGGGATTTCAACAACTCAAAAGCTAAAAGTGCAGCAAGAGACACAGCTTTTGTAGCTTGACACGAAAGTAATGTAACATACAAAATGAAGCTTAAGAGCCATCAAACCCGGTTAGACATTATCCTTCAGGTCGTAGGAGCCATGCGTTTGTTACAAGATCTCTGAAATCTGTAAAAAGAAAGCACTTTTTAAGCCAACCATCAAAAATTAAAAAAACGAAGCAGAAAGTTGATCGAATGAATAATACTATACATTGATTGGCATCTCTGCGATGATAATGCCACTGCTCTCTTCAAGGGATTTGAGAGTGGTTACTTCACCTCCAACAACCATGTTTATAACAATCCCACCTTAAAAAAAAAAGAGAAAGTTTCAAATGTTTAAAAAAATAGGCTTTAATGATGATGATGAAGAAAGGAGTTTGTTTTCACCTGAAGCTAAGCAAGATGTTAAACGCCGTGTATAAGTTTCCTTCTTAGCAGGAAGCTCGTAGTTGATGAGAACTCGTGAGGAAAGAGAAGACTCTCCAGATGAAAGCATAGGAAGACAAACATCAGTCACAACTACCAAATGAGAATTCTTTTCTTCTCCTTCTTCTCTGGTTTCACTCTCTTCTAAACCTTCTTCTACTACTGCAGAGTTAAGTTGCTGGTTCCACTTGACGGTTGCTTGTCGGAATTTCTCTAAAACCATAGCTCGTTCTCTCTCTCCCAGATCACTGTACTGCACACACACACACACACAGAGTAGAAACTTAGTGCGAACATAAAATCTAGAGGAAGGAAGGACAGTGTAACAGAATCTAATGTTAGTAAAAAAAACTGAACAAGCAAGTGAGTTAACAAGAAGACCATTTTGTTATCACGTCAAGCACCATTAGATCTAATTCAAACACAATGTAATTCTGAATCGATGGCTAGGCTGATTATGAAGCAAGCAAGCGATTAAACAACTGTAGAAGAATCCGACTCAATACACGCTTGTATTGATCCCACGTTATGCGAACACTAGCTCACTAACTCTCTCGTCTCTCGTTTAAATCAGATCGCGACTCCGTTTCACTCAAGAATGTTAAAGAGAGAAGAAAAACTAAACGAACAACACACACAACGTTTTAGAGTTCCCCGCTTCAACCACCGGGTACATCTCCTTCAGGACGGTACCTGGTAATCCACTAATCAGAACTCGAGGTTACAACAATGGTGGAATCGCCGTTCATCAAGAAAGATAAACGCAGAAGAAGACAAAGTTAGTTACAGAGATTATTATTCTCTGTTTCGCGTTTCTCTCTTCTTATAGTAAACCGGTAAACTCGTTTGGGCTGCTTCATTACTCTCCGAGGCCCAACTTGAATACCACACCTCTGCGGCCCATGAACAAAGCCCAAGTCGACTTTCCACTTCACAATCTCCACCTTGGAAAGACGACGACCAAGCTCGCCGATTAACCTCCGGAGCAACCGCCTGCTCCACCGTCCTGGTCTTCCTCTGGGTTCTTTTGTCCTCACTTCGAACCCGACTACAACCTCTAATATGCGGCTGTGACCCTTCCGTGTCTCTCTGACTTCCGAGACCGATAAATAAACCTGTCACCTTCTCAGTTCCAAACGTGACAGCAAACAGCTCAAGAAACTAAGCTTCCAAGACACCCAGCTTCACTAGGCATCCACCAAACTTATCACCTGGCAACGGTTTCGTTAACATATCAGCAGGATTAACTGATGTGTGAATCTTCGTGACCTTGACAACTCCATCTGCAATAACTTCGCGAATGAAATTATACTTGGTGGCAATGTGCTTAGTTTTCTCTCTGTAGACGAAGTTCTTGGCCAGATAAATTGCACTTTGAGAGTCGCAATAAACCTCCACTATACCTCTACACAGCTTCAACTCGTAACAAATCCCCTTTAGCCACAAACCTTCTTTAACTGAGTCAGACAACGACATGTACTCAGCTTCCGTAGTTGAAAGTGCTACTACCTTTTGCAGTGATGACCTCCAGCTTACAGTATTGCCACCCACAGTGAACACATAACCGGAGATGGACCTGCTCTTGTCCAAGTCTGATGCGTAATCGGAGTCACAGTAACCCCGGATATTAAAGTCATCACCTCTTCTGAAAGTTAAGCTTACTCCCAAAGCTCCCTTTAAGTACCTTAATATCCATTTCACAGCTAACCAATGATCTGTTCCAGGTTTGCTCATGAAACGACATACTAGACCAACTGCGTAGGCCAAGTCAGGTCTTGAACCCACCATAGCGTACATCAAACTGCCTACTGCGCTTGTATACGGTATGTTCTCCATCTCCTTTGCCTGCTGCTTCTCCTCTAACTCTGATAGACTCTGTAGTTTAAACTGTGATCCCAACGGTGTAGTAACTGCTCTGCAATCTATCATTCCAAAAGTCTTTAAGACCTTGCTTAGATAATCCTTCTGAGATAAAACTAGTGTCTTCTTAGATCTGTCCCTGAATATATCCATTCCTAGCATCCTCCTTGCCTAGCCTAGATCCTTCATCTCAAACTCGTTGCTTAGTTGATCCTTGAGTCTCTGCACAGTAGTCATGTCACGAGCTGATATCAACATATCGTCTACATATAGAAGCAGATATATGATATCTTCCATCCCTGATCCCTTTAGATAAACACACGGATCATATTCACTTCTCTTAAACTTCTGTTCCACCATAAACGTGTGAAACCTGTGATTCCACTCTCGTGGGGATTGTTTTAACCCGTATAAAGACTTTCTCAGTAAACAAACCATATCTTCCTTTCCTTTCTTCAAGTACCCTTCAGGCTGTTCCATATAAACTCTCTCCTTAAGAACTCCATGGAGAAATGCGGTCTTGACGTCCAGCTGTTCTAACTCTAGATCAAAGTGAGCAACTGCTGACAGAAGTAACCTGATGGAAACGTGCTTCACCACTGGAGCAAACACTTCATTGTAATCTACCCCTTCTACCTGAGCGTATCCCTTTGCCACGAGTCTTCCTTTATATCTTGGTGGCTCTACTCCTGGTAAACCCGGTTTGAGTTTATAGATCCATCTACACCCTATCACCTTGTGACCTCTAGGTCTCTCTGTGTAGTCCCAGGTGTGGTTCTTCTCCAACGATTCCATTTCTTCATCTGAAGCTTCTCTCCATCGTTCCTTATTCTTGCCATTCATAGCCTCTCTATAACTCTTAGGTTCATCAATCTCAATATCTTCTGAGGTAGCCAAGGCATAAGCTAAGAAATCACCATCTTCGAACTTGGATGGGGGTCTAATAGTCCTCCTAACCCTGTCTCTGGCAAGTAAGTAGTTTCCCAAATCCTCTATATGTTCTTCTTCCTCTGGAGTTTCTATGACTGTCTCTTTACCAATCTCTGACTGTTGAGCTTGTCCTTGATCTTGTTCTATGTCATTTACTCCACCTGGATTTGAACTCCCCTCATCACAGACATCTTCAAGGTTACTCCTAAACGTAACCTTCTTCTTTGAAGATTTTATTTCCTGTTCTGTCTCTGAGCCGTCTTGATTTGTTTGAAGATCCTTGTACATCTGTTTTTCATTGAAGACAACATCCTTGCTTATAGCTAGTTTCTGATCTTCTAATAACCAAACCCTGTATCCTTTTGCATCCTCTGCATACCCCAGAAAGATGCCCTTAGCAGCTCTCGAGTTTGTCTTCTCCTTTACTTGGTGTACATACGCAATGCAACCAAAACTCCTTAGGTGACTGTAGTCTGTTATGTGACCTGTCCACCGTTCTTCTGGTATCTCAAACCGTATAGAAGCGTTTGGTGAACGGTTTATCACATACACGGCTGTAGACGCTGCTTCTGCCCAGTAGCTCTCATCAAGCCCTGATTCATTTAGCACTGACCTGACCTTGTCCATGATGGTTCTATTCATTCTCTCGGAGGTGCCATTCTGTTGGGGTGTGTAGGGACATGTCTTGTGCCTCTTTACTCCCGAATCCCTGCACAACTGATCCATTTTCTGATTACAAAACTCTAATCCATTGTCTGATCTTAGACACTTGATCTTTCTTCCTGTTTGATTTTCTACAAGCAATTTCCACCCTGCAAAACAATCAAACATTTCAGTCTTAGTTTTTAGAAAATATATCCATACCTTCTTAGAGTAATCATCTGTAAGGGTTAAGAAATATTTAGCCCCTGATAAGCTTGACACCGTGTTGGGTGATCCCCATAGGTCAGTGTGAATGTAGTCGAGAACTCCCTTTGTCGTGTGCTTAGCCCTTGGGAATTTCTGCTTATGTGCCTTTCCCATTGCACAGCCTTCGCAAAATTCCAGTTCCCCTACTTCATCCTTCTTGATGTATCCTCCTCTCACAAGTGCTTGCATTGAACGATAGTTCATGTGAGCAAGTCTTGTGTGCCAAGTCTTTGTGAGATCAGCTTTGCTTGTTGCAGAGTTTGCCTCTGGCCTTCTAACCGAGCCTTGTAGATAATAGAGACCATTGTTGTATTTTCTTGTTAGGACCTTTCTACCATCCTTGTAGAAATGAACAATATAGCCTTGTCCCTTGTAGTGGCAACCTGACTGTTCCAACTGACCATAAGAGATCAAGTTCCTTCCCATTTCTGGCATATATCGAACATTGTTCAATATCATAGTCGAACCATCTTCATTCTCTATGGTGATTTTTCCCATTCCTCGAACCATACAGAAAGTGTTATTTCCCATCATAACCTTGTTTCCTTCAAACTCCACCAAGTCAGACAACAAATCCTTTCTCGGCGTAATATGAAAAGTACACCCTGAGTCTAATACCCATTCTTCTTCTGACGTGATTAAGCTTGCAGTTAAAGAAACTGGACCTGGATGTTTAGAAACTACGTTTGCTGAGCTTCCAGGTTTGTGGTGTGAAGCATTTTGCTTTCTCTCTGGACAATCACGTTTCCAGTGATCGTCACCACCACATATCCAACAGGTTTTATCATGTTTCACGCCATACTTCCCTCTTGACTTTGACCTGAACTTATTCTTTGGCCTGTTGTTGTACTGCTTGTTGTTTCCTGAGTCGTGCCTGCTTGTTGTTCTACCTCTGGATTCTTTGTACAATCCTTCAGATTGTTTTCCTCTGGTATTAAGACCCTTCTGCTTTAGCTCCACCTCCTTTGAGTACGCTGCGGTCATTACTTCGTTCACAGTTAAAGTGTCCTTCCCAGTGCCGTATTGCAGTGTGTGGACGAGTGGCTCATAAGCTGATGGTAATCCTGACAACAGCTGTATAGCCTGGTCTTCATCCGTGATGTCTATCTTTATGCTTGCAAGATCCGCAACCAACTTCAGAAAATGATCAAAGTTCTCCTCCATAGATTTCTCTTCTTCCATCTTGAAGCAAGAGAATTTCTTCTTGAGGTAGATACGATTCGGAAGTGACTTTGTTTGATAGTCTCTTTCCAATGCTCTTCACATCCCGAGAGCTGTAGTCTCATTCATGATCTTCCTTAGAATGACATCACTTAGGCATATGCTGAGCAGACTCCTGACCCTTAGATCCTTCTCTGCTTTCTTTAACTCTTTCTTGATTCCTGAGCCTTCAACTTGTTTCCCAGACTCCTCTTCCTCTTCTGCTTTTGCTGTATCTTGCTCCGATTCTTCGTCTTCACTAAGTGCTGATAGCAGACCCTGAATCTCCAGCTGAGCCATCATTTTAAACTTCCAAAGTCCGAAGTCTCCCTTTCCATCGAACTTCTCGATCTCGAACTTCCCTCGTGTAGGATTCATTCTTCAATTTGTGCGTTCCGTTTAGTCTTGATACCTGCAGATAACAAAAGTACACAACCACAGCAAATCGAACAATCTCTACACAGTAAAGTTTCAAGAACACTTGATCGAAAGAGAGATAGAAGTAAACTTCCTTGTGCCTTCGTTGATCTTGGATGATCAACCCAGTGTGATGAAACTGCCTTGATAGAGCGTAGTAAACTCTATCAATTTCCCGTCCTGGATCTCGAATTCTTCTTTCGCTTCCAACGAAGCTCTGATACCACTTGTAGAAGAATCCGACTCAATACACGCTTGTATTGATCCCACGTTATGCGAACACTAGCTCACTAACTCTCTCGTCTCTCGTTTGAATCAGATCGCGACTCCGTTTCACTCAAGAATGTTAAAGAGAGAAGAAAAACTAAACGAACAACACACACAACGTTTTAGAGTTCCCCGCTTCAACCACCGGGTACACCTCCTTCAGGACGGTACCTGGTAATCCACTAATCAGAACTCGAGGTTACAACAATGGTGGAATCGCCGTTCATCAAGAAAGATAAACGTAGAAGAAGACAAAGTTAGTTACAGAGATTATTATTCTCTGTTTCGCGTTTCTCTCTTCTTATAGTAAACCGGTAAACTCGTTTGGGCTGCTTCATTACTCTCCGAGGCCCAACTTGAATACCACACCTCTGCGGCCCATGAACAAAGCCCAAGTCGACTTTCCACTTCACAACAACAAGAGTCTTCTCAAATCAGGAACACAACACTAAAGAATCCAATATCAAAAATGAGAAGAAACAACCTAATGAGAAATTAGCTCTAATTCATTTTGTATATACAATAGATGTTGAATGTGAACACAATCTAATGTTGAATAAAAAAACAATGATCACGATGAAGCAAGCAAGTGACTAAACAACAAGATTTCCTTTTAAGTATCAAGAAGACTAGATTATCCACGGATACATAAATCAACGGAAACAATCAAGAAGTTGAAATGAGATGTACCAAAGCAGCAAAGGAGATGTAAGGAAGAGTGGATAAAGAGGAGCAGACTGCGTCGAGTTCATCTCGAGAGCTGCAACAGACTACAATGGGAAGCCATGGACGTCGACCTAGCACTCCTAGTAACTCCACCACTGTCTCCTGCTCGTCGTCGATTTTCAGAATCTCAAATTTGTTCTGTTGAATAAATGAAAATTTAGAGAAAATACCATTTTGAATTGGGGACGATCCACTGCGAGGTAGAAATGCAATTGTTGTTGACTGCCAAATTAATAAGAAGATGAGAAAAAAAAAAAAAAAAAAAAAGGA